CCATTCCAAAAAACCCCAAACCCCAAAGAACAACCCAAAGTGCTGTGTGCACAGCACTCCTCAATGCCTAGGGCATCGTGCTAAGAAAATGTTTCTGACAGTTGTCGGCCGAATTGTGTCCCCTGGATACTCCTCTCCTCTTTTCTTGACTAAGCATACCTTTACTGCTCCAAGTTTTGTCAGCTCTTTGACAAGTTGCTGATGTGATGAGAGGGAGGACTTGCTGGGGGACACATCCCGTAGCAAGTTCTCAGACTTGGATTCGAGCCTTGTTCGCCCTGTTCAGAAACACGTCCTTTGCCAAGGGAAGAAGAGGGGGTTTGGGGAGGGAGGGTGGGAGGATGAAAGGGGCCATGCTCTGAGTGAGTTATGGTCCTTGTGCATGGACATGGGAGGAGGCATTACCTTCAGGGGACTCGGATCTGGCTCTTCCCGTTCCTACAAGTGCCTAATCCTGATCTTTGAAGGAGGTGAAGGACAGTGAGCCTTCCTTTACGGCAGCCGCTGATGGTGCAGTATGGGTTGTTTGTGGGTGGAAGTAAAGATTGTATCTTCTGTCACAGAGCTGTGAAGTTACCTCATTGTAATACGTTACCTGTGCAGGGCAAGAGAATGGCGTCTTATATGGAAGAAAGCTGTTAAAATACAGGGTTTTTAACTCGCCTATCTCTCCTTGATAGCCTATAAAAGATATTGCCTGAATACTGTGCAATAAGCTTTATTGCTTGAAAGTGGGACAATATAAGGAAAGATGCACAAGGAAAATATTGAGAACATGAGCTTTTGAGCAAGTAATGTCGCTAAGAGCTGAAACAAAGTAGAGGGAAAGTGGCTGGGTATTCTCGGAAGGCAGATGAGCCGGAAGGGTAGAACGTAAGTGTGCCTGTTTCCTGGGGATTTGTAAAGTCTGCCCTTCGTGGTGCAGGCAGAAATCTGGCTACTGCTAAGGGCAGACCATGCCCATAGGTCCCAGCTTTCCACATTGCGATTTTATCCAATCTTGTTTTTATGTCCTGTGAAACAGCCCTTAGGATAGCAGGCAAATGGAAGTGGTAAAGTAAACTGAGTAGGTACATGCTAGGATTCGGATGCCGCTTTGTGTGGTGAATGAAAAAAATACAGCCTTTCAAAAATAGCCCTTTGCTAAAGCAGATTGCTCTGAGGGCTGGGAAAAAAAAAAAAAATCTAAATCCCAAGCACCGTAACCTCCTCCCTGCAAGGCCCACCATCCTTCTAGACAAGAGCTGCGAGGCTCTTTTTATAAGAGCTCTTAGTCTCCTAACTGAGCTTGCATGTTGACATCTTGTGGAGTACACGTTTGATGACCTCGCCAAGAAAGATGCAGGAGCGCAGCACGGCACAGTGGTGTTTCCATGCGGATCTGGGGTGTGCTCGCCACTGGTGAAATCCCAAAGCCTCCCAGGAGGGCACTGGTGAGCAAACCAGTTTTCTTTGGGCACAGTGGAGAGAGCTGCGTGGGTAAATGCTGCGAACCAAGGCCTTGAGCTTTGTGTTTCTAAAATCAGCCCTGGCGCAGTAGGTTTGGGCTGAGGCATAAGGATCTACGCAGCTAGATCTGGTTGCAAGATCAGGGGCATAAATGTGTACACCTCCATGTATACTGGGGTCCATGCTGGGTTCTGCAACGCGACATGCCTAACACTCTGTTGTGTAATCTGTGGTTTGGTGTCTGTGTTCCTCACTACTTTTGAAAACTTCCCTCTTTCTTCTTACAAGTGCAGTCAAAGTGTGAGGTCGCTGTAGCGATACGCTCTGCAGTAACACTTGGATCAGTTTTGGACATGGGGGCAGGTTGGGCAGAAATTGGCGGTTCCCCCCCTTCATTCAAACTCTTTGAACATTGTGGTTTGCTAGTATATGTCATCTTACCCGGCAAAATCATCTTGCAGTAACCAGCATTTAAATGCAAATGGTGGAATGTAATGCAAAATATATCTCTGAAGTAAAAGCGGAAACAGTTTGAATATTGGCTGAACTGAAATCATTCTTTCTAAAAATGATTAGGACCTTCGGGAGAAAAACTGGAAAGCAATGGAAGCATTGGCATCAACTGAAAAATTGCTGCAGGACAAAGTGAACAAGACTGCCAAGGTTGTAATGTTAACTGCTAGAAACGATGCGTTAAGCTAGAAGCAGATCTGCAGCTGGTTTTTTTAAATGAAATGGAGGCATTTAACTTTTACTGCAATTTAAATATAGTCTGTTCTGAGTGATCATTCATATACTCTCACCTCTGCTTCTTCCTGTTGTCTTTAGGTTTCTTTTTTTATCCTTAATTTGTGGGCATGTGATTTTTGATTTCTGTTTGCGTAATTGTTAGAGCTGTTGTGAATCGTGGTTTTTTGGTTTTTTTTTTTCTTTGTGGGGAGCTCTAGAGTAAAAACTGTGCTGGTGAGCAACCTGCTTTCATCTACTGGGCTTTTGCTGTGCTTGAATAAATTTATTGGACCCGTGAAGAACTAGGACTAAATTATTATTTAAAAACCTGGGAACTTCTCAGGAAAATGGTGTCACCACAGCTGTGAATTTTCTCCTTGAAAGCATATGAAGCTCGACAGGTCCTGTCGGAGCCAGTGTTCAAAATGATACGGGGCGTGAATTGCTCTGAAAGGAGCTTGCATTTGCTATGAGCCTGATTTGGTGTTAATTGTCGCCATGCGGATTTCAAAAAAAGCATCAAAATAACTTGAAAACCACAAGTCGGGTAGCTAGAAGCAGAGAAGCTCTGATCTGGGGTTGTGCATCTGTGTTTTGGAGAAGTCTCTGCTCTTTGCTCGGCCCCGCGTTCAGAGAAGTTGCGTACCTGCTTTTGCTGTGTGCTAACGCTTGCCTGCTTTCTCTTGCAGTCGGAAGACTTCATCAAACAGCCATTTGCCACTTCTTGGTGGTTCCTAAATTGCTGAAACCTAACACACTTAGCACAACTTCACAACCTAATGTCTCCTGTCTGTTTCTGTCTCTGAATCTCAACCTACTAATGCCACCGATCTCTTGCAGCAGAGGAACGCAGAGCAGCAAGGCGCAGTAACACTGATGTCAAAGAAAAAACCGAACCCCAATATTAGCGAAGGATTTTTGCTGAAAGCTGCCTTCTGCTCAGGAGTTCAGGCTTTCTGCATTTAAACTTGTACGGGAGCCTGAGTGTCGTATGGCTAAATTAAAGCAATCTGCCACAAGCACAGCAAGCAAATGTCCTGTGGTTGGTCTGCTCTTAATGTTAAATAAATGGAGGAGGACCGATGGATCTGTGGTGCCCCTTGGCTCTGTGTATTTATATTTGCAGACCAATGACAAGGAAAACCTGGAGATTGTCACACAGCTCTAATAATTATTTCCCATTGCATCCAAGCTTGGGGAAGGAGGATGTAAGGGTATCCCTCTTAAAAGTAATTAAAAGTAATATTTAGAAGGTATAGTCTTGCTTTCTTGGCCTGGTTCAAATGTGCATTAACACAAAGTTTCCGTTTGACTTTAATTATCTGGTTTTGATGTGGTGATGTTAATTTATGGAGATTTTTCCCCACCTAAGATCGTTTAAAATAAGTATGGATTTCTAAAAAAATTGTTGATTGACCAAACTTCTCGGTTTTGAGATCGCTCCACTTGAGTGGCAGGGTTGGTGTGATCTGTGGATGCAGTTACTCAGCGCAGTGTAGTTTGTGTTGTGAACAAGCGAATGACGGTGTAATTTCTGTACAAGCAGGCTAGATTGGAGGAGAACTTAATGAAAATAAAAGCTTAAAAGCATGAACAAATGCGAAGGCCAAATTCTGAAGCAATTCAGTGTCAATTTTTGAAGCAATTTACTGGCAATTTTAGAGACTATAGAGCCTTTCTCACTTAAAAAATGATTTTCTGGGTTAAGTAGGTTACTCTAGGCGTAGAAGAGGCTATTGCCAGGAGTGGAGCGTATTGCCCAATTTCACGTAAGCCTTTCTCTTGGTTTAGGAGAAGCAGCAGCACTTGGAAGCTGCCGAAGTGGAGACACGTGAGCTACTCCAGAAGCTGTTCCCTAAAGTCTCTCTTCCTTCTAACGTGGTAAGAGAAGAAGGGGCTTTTCCTACCGTACTGCTGCGGGCTGGGGAGCTCTGGTCCTGCTGTGCTGGGCAGTCCGGAGCGCTTCCCCACCGTCCCCTCTGCCCCCAGGTTTTTGCAGTAGGACGTGAGTGTCTTCTGCTGACGATACCTGTACTTGCCGGCAGCAAAGAGGCAAAGCTGCAGACGGTTACTTCAAGAAAAGTGTTAAAACAAAAAAAAAAAAGTTAACCTTATCTTGTTTGGTTTTTTTTTTTACTGCCCCAACATCTGATTCATCTGCCTGTGTTATCTTCTGTCTAATCGAGATAGTAAATTTTCAGGGGCAGATAAGGTCTGCTGCGTGTTTGCTCAATCTGGCACGATGGGGATTCATATCTTCCCCAGCGGCTGTGCAGATAAGGGCTGGCCCCCCTTTCCAGAGGGGCTGCGCTGCCTCGGTGCCACTTAATACAGTTAATACAGAAGGGTTTGTTTTGTTCACAAAGGTCCTTTGAAAACAACCGATTTCCAATTTTATATTCTTGGTGGCTTTTGGTTGTTTGCGAGGGAAGTGCCCTGGGTTCGTATGGTTTCAGTTGTGTGGATGATGTGAAGACGGGCTGGGAAAATGGGGTCTGCGTTTCATTTGTAACATCTAGAGGCTTTGAATATTCATATTTAAAATTATTTTCAAATGTGCTAAAGTTAGCCTCCTGATGAACCAGAAATAGTCTTTAAAAAGACTGTTTCTGTAAGGTTACAAAACAGCCTTCCTGGTGAGGTCCCTAGAATTACATAGCAAGCGTCTGCTTTAACTGCTCAGGGGTTTTGGAAAAGATTCCCTTAAGTCTTAATACTTCTTGTAGAGCCCTGATACTTGCAGGGAGACCTCTGTCACCCCGTTGTATTTCAGCACTTCCAAGCCCCCATGAACTGTGTGTGTGTCTCGTAACCTCGTGCTCCTGGATTGCTGCCCGCTGACTGTCGGCTCGGTTTTGTGCGGTTCTAGCTGAACGACTGCTGTCAGGCTGTCTGTTAACTCTGGGGACTTAGGGGACTGAAACGCTGCTCCGTAAGCCTCCGCTTGGAGACAAATGTCCTGAAGGTATATTTATTGAGGTTATTCTCAGCTTTAACTGAATGCATTTCCCAACAGAGTCATAGTGAATGGATATGCGGGTTTGAAAAGATGGCTAAAGAATACTTGAGAGAGGCTTCAGGATCTGAAGACGTCAAGGTAGGCACAAACTGTGGATACCTTCCTTGTGTGTGGCATAGCGTATTTTTCCAGTATAAATCTTGCAAATTGTGCTCTGAATTGTGAAGTTCAAATTGGCAAGCAGGTGTCAAGAAAATTGTTTTATAGATATTTGCATCTTGTAGGTCAGAAATGTATTTGCATCTTCAAAAAGCACCTTGTGGAGCTGTGAAAACGTTCATGAAATTCAATCCCTGTTCCCTTTTTCGAGTAATTGGGGTTTTTTCCAGGCAACTCAGAATTACTGCAGTAACGCACATAACGTTTGTGATTGAGTATTGAGAGTTGTAGGTGAATGTGGCACTTGCTGTTGTCTTCGCATGGGTTGGAAAGAAAGACTTGCCCATGTGAATGATATGATATTAGCTTGCTTGTTGAAATAAAATAATAGAACTCAAATCCGTCAGCTGAGACGTGACTCTTCTGGTCCCTTTTCTCCTTTGCCAGGCTATGGAGCAGAAGTTGAAGGAGGCCGAGGAAATGCACATACTGCTGCAACTCGAGTGTGAGAAATACAAATCGGTCCTGGCGGAGACGGTAAGCAGGATGCCTGGTCGCCTGTGCCTTGTGATGTGGCAAGCTGCCTTTCTTCTGCTGTAAGCTTTCAAACCCCGCTCTCTTCTTAGGAGGGGATTTTACAAAGGCTACAGAGGAGCGTGGAAGAGGAAGAAAGCAAATGGAAGATAAAAGTTGAAGAATCACAGAAGGAACTTAAACAGGTATTTCTGAAGATCCGCTTTTTGCAGCAGCCAGGCAATTTCTGCTTGAAGTCGCAGAGGGTGTTGGAGCGCTGTGAAGGCAGGTGTGGAACAGCCCTGGCTGCCTGGTTTGATCTGTGCGTGACCAGTGAAGCCTGTAACTGGTATAATACGAATGATCCCTCCTTATAACAATAGGATTTTTGGTGCTCTGATACTTAGTTTCACGCTAAAGTGAATTTTATTTTTTTGAGGAACATCTTTCCATTTAAAAAACTAAAAAGCGGAGGAATTGTTGGTGTCTTTTAGATTTGTGTGGCTGTTCCCGTTGCCATCTGTAGAGTAGCAAGAACAAATGAACAGCGCAGGTCTTTGACCGTTATGGCAAGTCTGTGTCAGTCCTTTGCAGGTGATGCAGGAGGCAGCCAAATAGCACGTAGTAATATTAATGCTGATGGGATAGGAAGCCAAAGATTCGGGAATGTACATGTGTCCCATTAATGTGCCCAGGAATATACATTTTTCTGATCCTGGCAACTCAGACTGTATTTCTGTGAAGCACCTGTTTTTTTCAAAGTCTATTTGTGAACAGATACAGACTTTTTGTACTGAAATTTAAGTATCGTATAATCATAACAATTTTTTGGAAGCTGTTAAAATAGTGCTTAATCCATTATGGTCAACTAATTACACTTGAAACTGCCTGCAAAGCTTTCCTTTTTAGGAAGGCTCTGTTGCTAGCAAAAGTGGTACGAAAAAAGCCTTTTATGTTTTTTTTTTTTTTTTTTCTCTAATCTAGAGTTAAAGTAGGTCAAACTGGGTTTTTTTGAAATAAATTATTTCTAAAGTACTTCTGCTTAGTAAATTTGAGTGCCGGAGTATGAGCCTGGAGCAAACAGATAGATGATTTGTAAACAACTTGTTTGAGGGGCTTATAAAAGGCTGTCAGATCTTGAACTATAGATGCGCTACCATCTGCTGCACTTATGCAGCCTCTAATAAGGCTAAATAAGCTGGGTTTGGCTAGATATAATACATGGATAGAGACAGTCTTCCCTGTCTAGGACAGATATTTCCCTTACCATGGCTAATGGACAACTGGCTTAGTCCTTATATTCCAAATCTTTCAGGCGTGTAGGCTCTCACTATTGGAGAGCTTCTTATGTTGGGAGAAGGTAGGAAAGGTGTTATAATGGAGACTCAGACTATTGAATTGAGTGAGCATCTTATTTTATTCAGCCACTGCGATTTCATCCTTAATATTTTTAAATTGTTGAAGCAAGCTTGTGTGTGTATGGAGAGCTTGTCTTAGACCAACCCAACTAAACGATATGTTTATCTTTCTTGAAAACTGCAGATGCGTTCTTCAGTCGTTTCTTTGGAGCACGAGGTAGAGAGGTTAAAGGAAGAACTCAAAGAAGTTGAAACTGTACGTGCAGGTGTTTTTTCTTTGAAGCTTTCTGTTACTTAAAACATGATTTAGGCTTATGCTTTAAGTCCGAGCTTCCCAGGACTTCTCTCCTGCAAGTAGTGCAGCCTGTGCTGCAGTTTAAACTGAATCTTATGGCCAGTGTTTTTAAGGAGAGAAGCTGGGTACTGGAAACTGTCCTGTTTTTTTACTTCTGTACTCACCCACTGGGGCTCTTTCCTTGTGAGACTGAGCAGTTTACTGCTTGTTGATGATCTTGGGCTTGATTCTTTTTCTTGTTATCTTTTTTTGAAATGTAACAGTTTACATCTGTGCTGTGCAATCACTGGATTTGAAATGCTCTCTAAATGTCATGGAGTATTTGATAGAAATTTATAGCTAATAATAAATGAAGAAAATGATACTGCAAGAAAACACTGAAAACATCTGTTTTAACTCTGTTTTTCTGTTTCTAGCTTAAAAAAGAGAGAGAGCATTTGGAAAGTGAACTAGAAAAGGCAGAACTAGAACGATCTACTTATGTTTCAGAAGTCAGAGAGGTAAACATAATCGACCAAACTGTTCTTTTTTCTTTTGTTTGGTTACCAGTTGGCTGGCACGCTAATCTAATGCTTAGCCCCCGTGGCTGAGGAGTTTATATGCTTGTGACCTTAGGGTAGAGCGACACACTAATAACTGAGCAGAAGAAAAGTGGGCATCCTAAGGAGACAAATCCTAAAACTCTAAACTTCATTTCAGCTCAAAGATCTGTTGACTGAATTGCAGAAAAAACTTGATGATTCATATTCTGAAGCAGTAAGACAGAATGAAGAGTTAAATTTGGTAAGAAGCTCGTTCTCCGCTGGGCACAAACTAGGCTCCCAGCGTACTTACAAAGCAGAGACTTATTTCAAATCCTGTCTGTTCTGCTAACCTCTTCAGCTTGATATTTTTGTCCATTGCAATCATTTATGTAGTCTGACTTTTACAATTTGTCTCTTTCTCTGCTCCTAACAATAGCATGTCTGGTTCTTAAGACTTTTTCCAAAGTCTGTCAGACTTTCATTCCTGAAACTTCTTGAGAATCGATGTGTTACAGTATAGACATATGCAACAGCAAGTCTAGTGTCCTTGGAGCAACAAAAGTTGTGCTCTCATCGGTTTAATATGAAGGTGATTTTTCTGGTGGCTGTTTTTCCAAAGCTTTTGAGGATGCAGCTGTGGTGTCCATGCTCTGACTGTGCAGAGTCTTTTCAATCCTCCTCTGTAAATACAGAAATTGGCCAAAACCAGTGTTAGATGAATTTGGAGTATCTGACCGCTCAACAGCTGGCATCCTGATGTGGCTGAATAGCTGTTCTGGCTTGGTGCATGCGCTCTGTTACAGCGGGTTTGGCTAGCAGTGCTGTCCAGCCAATGATGCTCCTATACCAGGTTTTCTCAAGAAGGAGCTGGATTAAGTGAGGCCAGACCTATAGACCCAAAGATGCATGGTTTTCCGGTTTGAGTCCTTTGACTTCTCATTTGTTTCAGTGGTGTGCTTTTTAAGGCTGCAGGAGCCGTCAGATCTTCCTCCGCTTGTGTTTGAACAGTGCTTTCTTGCTCTTCAGCCAAAATCAGGGAAGGTTGTCTCTGTCACCGTGTCTTTGGTGGGTTTTAGAGTAGTTGATGGGACAACCTGTCACTGCAGGCCGAGCCGCTGATCTCAGCCGGGTACTGTCACCAATGTAAATGGGTTGAAATAGTTGATTTAAAAAAGAAAAAGAACCCGAAACAACAAACCCACAATAACAATCTGCTTAAGTTTAATAGTATGCTTGGCAAGACTAGTACAGCACTGATTAGCATCCTGCCTCAGCAACCAAAGCCTCTCGTTTTGAAAGCAAGGGAAATGGGAATTGAATGCATATCTTACAGTTAATCAGTAAACGCCAACCTCTTGAATATAAGAGGCAACAACCTATTATGTCTGTAACAACAAAAGCTTAAAAGCTGAGCTCCCTGCTAGGGCAGCTTGACTCTGCAATCTGATGCTGCTGTGTTGGTAGCAGCGTGAGGGGGTGGTAAACAACTACCTTCATGCAAATGGCTCAGGAATGCTGTCCAGTGTATATGGGGTTTTTTTGCAGTAGGCAGGAGGCTGAGGAATAGAAATTATGGGATTTCAGAATGTATTTCCCACTAATTTATAAGGTGAGCAAGGAGAGAAGCTGAAACTGCAGAGGAGCTCAACAGTACTCCCCCAAAATGTAGAAAAACAGCATCTGCCAGTCCAGGTGCTCCAAAGGGGGGAACCTTCCAAGGGTGAGACAAATATAAGGCGTAGGTTTGGAATCAGTGCAAATTCAGGGCTCCGAGTAGCCTATTGTTCACTTCTTTAATCCCCCGCTGGCTCCCAAGAAGACTGACAGCAGGAGTAGTGAACATTAGCCCAGTGCACTTCAGAGGCACAAATCCAACAAAATTGGCACTCGAGCTTCTTGTTAGCACTCCTGTTTGAGGCTCAAGCCTTAAGTGCTGTGGCTGGTTCTGTATGCTGTGTTGAAGAGCAATCGAAATATTCTTTTTAGAAAATGTTTATATCCTTTGGAAGGCTGTAGTTTAAGGGCAGCCAGTACAAAGTATTCATCCCTCTTGACTGAAATAATTTCACTTTTTTGGACTGAATCTAAACACAATTGACAACTTAATATACCCCTGTCAGTGATTCATGCCTTGATGTGACATTAACAGACTGGTTAAGTCAACATAGTTGTAGTAAGTGGTGCTTTATTAAGATGACAAGTAGAGCTTTTTAGTTTATTTAGCAGTAAAGTGACTGTTTAGCCTGAATTAGGGAGATGACAATCTACATTTTTGCATATTTGCCATGAATTAAGTTGAAGTCTGGGCTGACTGGTGATAAGAGCGCTCGAGAGGCTTCCGTACTTTCAGTATTGATAATATTCCTACTGGCAACGTAGTTTAAAAGTCAAAACGACTTGTAATCAAGCTGATGCCAACCATGTCTTTTCTTCTGTAGTTTCCATTCTCTTCGTTTATCTTTACAGATGGAGCCTCTCTTCCTTGACTGTCCTTGTAAGCCTCATCGTACATGTTGACTAATCCAGTGTGTGCAATAATTGTTAGTAATCTTACTCTCTTTGCAGTCAGTGTGCACTGGGTTAATCCGTGGGACAGACAGATAAAATCTGTGTGTGTGAGGGGAAACTGAGTTTCTTTCTTACTATTTTGCAGCTGAAAACGCAGCTAAACGAAACACTATCAAAACTCAAAGTTGATCAAAACGAGAGACAGAAGGTAGCTGGTGACTTGCCCAAGGTAAGCAGAGACGCTTAACAGTTGCAGATCTAAATGTTATCAAAACCCTCAAGATCTGTAGTTTTGCAGTGCTGGAAAACGTGGTGATTTGAGCGGCTTGAGCAGACTGCCTGCCTGGTGGGGTGTCTTACTCTGCTCGCTGGTTCCCCAGGCGACTGGGACTGTGGGTGTAACAGCTCATGCAAGATACCTGCATGCCTGTTGAAATGATAAAAATGCAACTAACAGCTCTGTTTAATTATCCTTCTTGAAAGAGTCTCTTGTTCATGACAACTTTATTCCAATGGGAAGAAGCGGTGATGTGGGGCTGACAAATAATTCTTTAAATAAGGAAACGCAGCCTAACAAAAAGCCCGTCCCACAGCCCTACACCCATACCACAGCCTGAAGCTTTTAAATCCAGTCTCAAATGGCAGTGGGTTACAAGTTGGTTTACAAGCCATTTGCCCATTTGCACGTGGTTGCAAATTGGCTGTAACCCAGGAGACTGTAAATCTTTAAAGTTAGCTCTGCACAAGCTCGATGAGACAAGCAGGTGGGTTACCTCTGCTCTTCCTCATGGTCATTCTTGGAAGATGGATTGGAGTGGGAAATCTTTAAGCATGAGAGGTCTCAGTGCTGTCTGTCACCCCAGAAATGAACCTCTCATGGGAGAATTGATAAATGGAGATGATAATAGCCTGCAGAGTGGCTGAGCTCTGGCTCCAGACTGTATAACACCTTGTTCCTTCTGCGGGAGATGCAGAGTAAAGAAACTGGGCTGCGTTCCTGCAGGGCTGGAGTGGGGAGAGCTGTTGGTGGGGCAGGTCTTGTCCTGGGAGCAGCGGCAGATGATCAGAAAAGCACTGCTAGGAGGTGAGAAGACAAAGGAAACCTGCTGCAATAAGCTGTTTAAAACATTTTGCTCAGGACAATTATATTGGATGTTGACATATGAAGTGAGCTGTGCTGATGTCCCTGGTTCATGGTATATTCTATATAAATGCAGATCTGTGATTAGACTTTTGGATACCTGCCTGCGCTGTTACTCTTGCACAAAAAATTTGCTGCACAATTTTTACCTAATAACTTGACATGAGACTATTAAAGCTTCCCTGTAGAATTGCTTTCAAATGCAGGCTGACATGCAACATGCTGGTTGTAAGGAGACATGTCAATCTTGGCAAATGTGTTGGTCCCTTGAGCAAATCTGGCATAAAACAGATTTCCTCCTGAACAGTGATTTCCCGTGTCTCTAGTGCTCTTGGAGAGATGGGGATTTGCTTCTCAGCCTTTGCTAATTGTTGTGCCTCCCCTGTTTGTTTGTTTGGTTGGTTTTTTTCTCCCCTACAGGCCCAGGAGTCTCTGGCATCTCTTGAGAGAGAAATTGGAAAAGTCGTTGGGGATGCCAATGTTATTGAAAACAGCGATGTTTGCACAGAGTCGGTGAGTGTTTCTTTTGAGCCTGTGCTCAGGGGCAATGCAAATCTCATGCAAAATGTGAACTTTGGGAAGTGAGGTCCAGCAAAGGAACGGGACGTGTTCTGCTGACGGTAAATTAAGGCTTGATGAAACTTCCTGTCCCACAACTTGTCAGGGTGGTGTCCTGGAGCTGTATCCCAAGGATGCTGACACTTTTCTAAGGATTGGGAGTTCTGTTGTCATCTGGATTGTGACCTCTTTCCCATAGCTCAAATTTGTAAGGAGGAAAGGATGAGATTCTGGGGATGAGATTCTGGACATGAGATCTGGGCTTCCAAAGGGTTGTTGGTTTGGTTTGGGCAAAAGTAGGAAGAGTCTGGGGAAGATTCCCAAACTTGTCCTTTCGAGAAGGGAGGCTAAAAATAAATGTGCTGATTGCTAAATGAGCTTAAAAATTTAACTGTTGGGTTGGCACTTGCTGACATCTGTAACGCCAAAGAAAGAAGGCAGTCTTGCATGCCCCGTAACACCAAGGCAGGCAACGTCCCTTGCCAGAACATTGACCCTTCTGGTCCTCTGCAGCTGTGGGCAAGAGCCTGTCCTTAGCCACTGGTCGGTGCCCAAATTCAACTTCAGCTGGTCCTGGCTCCTTGAAATTTGTGCTGACCTAGAAGTGGTCCAGCAGCAAAATCTTACTAACCTGAGCTTCAGTAAGCACCAGACTTGAGCACTGCCTTGTGCTGTGGGTGGGCAACTCTCCAGGTTGATGGTGTTTTTGTATCCTCCAGTAACTGCATTGCAGTTGCAGGGTCTGGAATTGGGTGGACTCTGTTTGGGGTGGCCTCTTGTCACACTTGCAGGTGACTTGCCTGAGCCCCTGTGTTACTGTTCACACGGGTGATTGCAGAACTGCTGACGGAGCTGGTACTCCAAGTGCTGGCCCTAAAAAGACACCACCTGTACAACTGTTTGAATCGTGGCTTTGTAACTGGGCCTCTCCATCTCTGGAAATGAGAGCTTTCACACCAGCTTCAAAATAGCTTCAGAAGAGCTTTCCAAAAGGCAGTTGGGAAAGGGAAGGCTAAAGCAGATGCCTTCCCAGCACGTTTTATGCAGCTAAGTGGTGTCAATGGAACTCGTTACACATTTTCTTTCTGATGGGTGGAGTGGAAGGAAATACTGTTGTTTGAGGAGGAGAGGAGCACTTGCTGGTAGGACAAATAATTTATTTTGACTCCTTTTAGCTGCTGAAAATAAGTAGCTTCATCAGCTGTGAGAGGAAGCTAGGAGTCCTCTGAGGAGTACTGTAGAAAAGCCTTTGTCTTTGTAGTCATCAGCAGAAATGAAGTGGCTTTTCCAGAGCGGTCAGTCGTGGTTGCTGATCGACCCTTGCATTGTGGGCTCACTGTGTCTGCGACAGAGGCAGCTGGGCCTGTGAGACCACGGATGTCCCAGTTCCTGGGAGGGATGGTAGGTCTGCCGAGCCCTCTTCTGTGTTGCCAGCGGGAGGCCAGCCAGTGACGGTGACAACCGGGTGCTCCATGTCCCTATCTGCAGCAGGCTGGAGAAGAAAAGCCCTCCTCAAACCAACGCCAAACTGCTTGCCCTCCACTACGCCTTTATGGCTTATCCAAGTGGTACATCAGAGCAGCGATGCCATCAGCTGTGGCGTTTTGTGGCTGGTGACACTGGTGAGCTGGGTGTCAGTAGATGTGCCCTGCTGTGGCCTGAGCATGCTGGTTTGATTTAATTGCTTTACCCTTAGCTTTTGTAACCCCTCTGGCTCACGCACTGCTCTGCTGTAGCTCCGTGGGCACGTTGTGGAACCCTAATAAGGCTTCCTCCAGAATATCCATCGCTTTATTCTGAAGAGGAGTGTAGAAAAACAGTCCTAATAAACCTGTAATTAAGCCTTCATTAGTAAAAATATGTTCATTGTCTGAACAGCGCTCTTGCCAGGTAGCCATTGGCAGAGGCTGGAATTTAGAACATTTTCTTTATCTTCTTCCCCAAGCCCTTTTTGCTGACTTAATAAGGCTTCCTCCAGAATATCCATCGCTTTATTCTGAAGAGGAGTGTAGAAAAACAGTCCTAATAAACCTGTAATTAAGCCTTCATTAGTAAAAATATGTTCATTGTCTGAACAGCGCTCTTGCCAGGTAGCCATTGGCAGAGGCTGGAATTTAGAACATTTTCTTTATCTTCTTCCCCAAGCCCTTTTTGCTGACTCTTTTTTTTTTTTTTTTAAAAAAAAAGGAAAAAAAAAAAAAAACCAAAAACAAACCCCTGCTCCCTTGCTTTACCCTTAGCTTTTGTAACCCCTCTGGCTCACGCACTGCTCTGCTGTAGCTCCGTGGGCACGTTGTGGAACCCTAATAAGGCTTCCTCCAGAATATCCATCGCTTTATTCTGAAGAGGAGTGTAGAAAAACAGTCCTAATAAACCTGTAATTAAGCCTTCATTAGTAAAAATATGTTCATTGTCTGAACAGCGCTCTTGCCAGGTAGCCATTGGCAGAGGCTGGAATTTAGAACATTTTCTTTATCTTCTTCCCCAAGCCCTTTTTGCTGACTCTTTTTTTTTTTTTTTTAAAAAAAAAGGAAAAAAAAAAAAAAACACAAAACAACCAACCCTGTCTCCCCAGAAGCGTAAAAACCCAGCTTAAAATAGCTCTCGGATTAAAAAAGTAAGTCTTCCAGCCACTTCCACCTAGCAACAGTGTCTCTCTTTTCTAAGAAGGACCTGAGAACACATGCTCAAAAATGAGCATATTTGTTCCTTCTGGGTACTGGAACCAACCCACAAAATTGAGAAATGATGCTTGTGTAAACCCTCAAACACATTCTGTATGTTTTCTTTAGACTCCTTTTTCTTTCTATTTAAAAATAGATCATTTGGTTTTTCTAATCAGCTTCCTTGTCACTTATGGGATTAGATGATGACTAAAGGGTGCCTTTTAGTATGCTGTAAGGAAGTCATTTATATTCAGCAGCTTGCTTAGGCAGTAAACTTATTTTGAGGTTTATACGAAATCTAATGTGCTTTTCCCCCCAGATCTCAGTGTAAAACACTCTATCCTTGAAAACTGGAGACGCTGTACGTGTTAAGCATGGCGGAGGGGAATCTGCCAGTTCAGTGCCTTAGCTACTGGGTCTGTGATTGCAGTGGGTTCCCCGCTACCATCCTCTTCCTCTCTTCATCCCCGTATCCCAAAGACATGCTTTCCCCGCAGTCATGGAGAGCATGGGGCTGGGGTACAGCAAGGGCTGCGTGAGGCAGTTCTGCGCTCCTGGGTTCACAGAAGCTGCAGTATGACTGTGTTGAGCCCAAATCCATCAGGAGCTGGTCAGGATTGGCCCCGGGAGGGTTGGGGATGTGTCTATAATTCATGAGTAAACACTGCCTGCGATTAGTGAAGCCACAAAACAGAAGGGAGAGGAAGCAAATAAGGGAGAGAAGAGCACTTCGCAGAGATGAGGGCTGAGAGTGAATTGAAAGGCTCCTTCATTGCTTCTGCCCACGATGGTTTCTACGCTAATGCACATGCACTCTCATACCCAGCACTGTCGGTCAGTCCTGCGATTCATTCCTTTGCTGGGATGCTAATTGCATTTGCCTTTCCACTTTCATCAATCCGTATGAGACCGTCAAGACTGAGAATTCGCTTAGCAGACCTGATTTTCTGTTTTAATAAAGGTAAAATAGGTTAAGGCTACCGTAATACAGATTCCCAATGATTTTTTTACAGTAGAAAAATGTTTACCAGTTGCACTTAAGTAAGAGCTTTGCAATATATTGCTTCGTTCTCTTGCCTGAGCCCAGAGTAGTTTCTGTAATGGTGCAGGTCGTTGAGTTTGATTTAATGCCCGCTCTGCGTTCCAGCAAGTCTAGCGGCGTTTCCAGCCAAATGGGAGCTGGGAAAGTGGCCCTCTCTGAACTCGCTCTAATTTCCCTGAAACTCCAGGGAGAGATTTGCAACAGCATTATGCATCAGTCTCATTCTGTTAGTAAAACTGTTTTCAGTTGGAGCGGAGCTGGCTGATGCCGAGTGCCTGCGAACACCTCTGTGCTCGTGTTGAGAACTGGCTACTTCTGTAGCGCTGACAGCAAGGCAGAGCTGCTTATTTTTAGCTGTTAAATTGCAAGGGGAAGCTCTCCTGCAGGTTATCTGCACGTCTGGGTTATGAGCAGAGTAAGGAGTAGTAATGTGTGTTTTAGATGTGGAGTTCTCTGTACATCTCTGGAGGAGCTAATCAATAAAGGTAATAAACCAGGGATTATATCACTGTTAGCTCAGCAGGACTGACTTTGGGGAGGAGGGCAGGCAAGAGAGGAAGAGTCTGTTTTGAGTTGTGACACTTCCTTATTAATAAACTGTTGAACTCCTTTAAAAAAGCACTTATTTTTGTTTAAAGAAAGCAAGCTCAGCATTTTCATTTCAGAGCAAGAAACCAATTTTCTAGCTGTTGGTAGCTTTCTTTTTTTGGTTTCTCTATGTTGACTGGTGCTTAGACCGCTTTGTGATCCTTATCCAAGTCTGGGCGTCACTGGCAAGCAGGAATTTCATGGCAGCTTGGAGCAGAGGGTGAACCCGTGGGGTAGCTGGTGGGCAGCAGCCCATGCCCCGAGCCTGAACAGGAGCACCGGTGCTGTGGCGTGGCTGGGGAAAGGTGTGTATCTCCAGCCAGCTCTTTCAGATGGCTTCACAGCTGGAGCTGCCTTGTGCTTGGGTATTACGTACTGCTGAGGACACCATCCCACAGATCTTCATACAGACCGAGTCCTTGGTGGTCCAGCAGCCTTGTTGTTACAGCTGCGGAGGTCAGAAGTCATCCCTCCCGCTGGGCACCGTCCCCGCGCTTAGCAGCCTGCCTAATAAAGCCCGTGCTCTCGTCTGCGTGGGGTTTTCAGCCGGGCTTGTGGGGATGTGGGGTAATAACTTCTGAGGCCGGATCAGCTGTGGTTATGAGCACAATTCCTGGAAGCAGGGAGTAAGCAGAGTCCCGGGCAGGGAGGGTGGGAGCCGGAGGTCAGCAATGCTCCTGCCGGCATTCAGCGTGTGCAGGTAATTCCCTGCAACGGGAAACAGCTTCTTGACTTTGAACCGTGTTCTCTTTAGATGTGGCCCTAACCCTCTGATTTACAAGGATTGTTCACATCTGCGCAAGCAATTTGTAATTTTATATGGAGGATCTAATTCGAGGCTTTCTTGGTAATTAGATTGTAAATGAGTTTTTAATGATTTTTTTTTTTTCCTTCTTCCAGGAATTGACTGAAAAAAGACTAAATGTGGCAGTGAATCTTAACCAGGATGTAGGTCATCTCAAGAAGCTGCTCGTGTCAGTAAGCCAAATGCTTTCAAAGGGACGAGAACACTACCAGCTAGTAGGTAGGTGCGGCTGGTGGCCGTCTCGTTGAACTGGGTGGCTGTCAGGAAGGACACTGGTCTGTCATGGTGGGACCTTGTTCAGATTTAACAAGTCAGGTGTCAAAATCTGAAACTGTCTATGTGCAATTCATCAAAAGCTGCTGGTAGGCACCAGATTTGTCCCTCTCTGGATCCATGCTTCAGTTAGCTGGGACTAATCTCACATCTCCATGTCCCTCTCTGGGTACACAGCTGTCCTTCCCTTCTGCTACTTGCCACTTCCCGCAGCAGGTTTCCCAAAGCTTCGTTCTCCCAGTGCCTGTGCCTTGTTTCCTTCGTCCCAGCTACACGAGCAAAATGTCTACACTTCCATCCCAAAGCAATCGGAGCATGGAGGATGTAAAGTAACCCACTGGGCTTTCACTGAGTTAACAGCAATGGCTTGCTGTGGTCACGGGGATATGAGTGTCTGAAGCATCAGTCTGGCATGAACTCTTCATCCAATTATAGACACACGAACAAGGCTTTTATTTTAATACACAGCCAACTTGGAAACCTGGGCCTTTGTGGTTGACTGTGTCATGCTGGTAAACTTCTTAAATGACCCAAAGTTAGCTAATGGTTGGATAAACTCGAGACACTAAACTTTCTCGGGATGCAGCTTGTGAGCCTCTGCTAGATGTGCTGTGAGCCGGGTATCTGAGGGCGGGTTGCGAACTGTTGGGCTGGGGAGGCAGCAAAGCCTTGGCACTGAACGAGCCGCTACAAGAAATGTCAGAACTCCCTCTCGCTGGTGAGGATGGAGACTTGGTTTTTTCCTCATTTAGTTTTATTTTTTCTGCATCTGCCTCTGTAACACAGCGTGGGCAGTAGAGCTGGTCTTAAGGACTGGTAACAGAGTGGTGGGGTGAGCCCAGCGTCCTAGGATGGGCTTGGTGCACGTGGGGGGAAGGCGCTACCTGCGCCTTGGCCTCTGCTCTGGGAGGCTGCTCCTGCTCAGCCTCCACCGCCCCGGCTTGTTCCTCTGGGCTTTGTCGTGGGCCGACGCTAACGAAGCAGCTGGCGTGAGCCGCTGAAGGGCTGGCGAGGCGTGGGTTTGCTTGAACACTGCCCTTCGGAAGCTGCTTGACTGACGTGGCGTTTTGTGTTTCTCTTGCAGAATGAAGTCACGGGGGAATCGTTAATTTGAGGATAGCAGAAGGCATTGTATTATATTTTGCCAAATTAAAGCCTTATTTATGTTTTCACCCTTTCTACTTCGTCAGAAACACTGAACAGAGTTTTGTCTTTTCTAATCCTTGTTAGACTACTGATTTAAAGAAAAAACCCAACTCTGTAGACACCTCCAGAGTTTAGTTTTATAATAAAAACAAACCTGTTTGGATAATTAGACCTTTACATTCCTGGAGAGACAGTAAACACATAATCTTTTATCTTATTTTGCTCAATAAAACTTGTTCAGAAACCTCCAACATGGTAAAGTCACCAATGGGATATAACATTTTAATACTGATGTTGTACACTGATGTTTTACTTAATTACAGTTTTGGGATTAGCTGCCTCTGACTTCAACCTCAAGTAAACCCTCTTTCTTTTTTTTTTTTTTGGTTGCTAATGTAATCAGTTTTTGTAATGGTGTCAGCAAATAAAGGGATGCTATTATTCAAGGTGTTCCTGCTCTCTTCTTTTAACTGCATGTGGATGACTCAGGTGAGCTTTCCATCTCTCTCCTCCCTGAAACGAGCATCAGGCTGTGCTTGGTCTCCTTGGTTTTGGGCAGAGCAGGAGGCACAAACTTGAGAAGAGGCAAACCGGGGTGCTTGCAAACTTCAGAGCAAGTCTTCCTTTTAAAGGAAAGGCGCTAAGGTTTAAAAAAAAAAAAAATAAATAGAAGAAATCCCCAGCGAACTGTCATGTGAACTGTGCTTCCATGTCATGTATTGCCTCTGGGAAAAATCAGGGAGTAAAAGGGGAGGAACAGTTAGGAACGTCGGATTGTACGGCAAAGCCAGCTCTTGTGGCAGTGTTGGACCAGCCTGCCCGGCCGCCAGCGGTGCGCAGTTATCCCCCTTTGCCCTGGACCTGCCTCCTGGACGGGTGTCGGTGGTGGAAGGAGTTTTGGGGGGTTGGATGCTCTGTCACTGGGGGCTTCATTGGAAACAAATCTGGGGAGGGCCTTTGGGACAGGGATTCTTCTGGGGGCATGGGGACATCAGGTGGCCCTCCTCTGCTTTGGGTTTTGAAGTGTGTCTTTGATGAACCCTTCAGTTCTGCAGGAGATTCTTCAGTAAGCAAGGTGAGATGTTGCTTAGTTCTTGATAACACTTGAGGACATGATTATCTGAGGGAAGGCAACAAAACAGTTGGGGGCCAAACTGAATTAAGTGTAGAGGTAAAATGGTTCGAACTGCTCACCCTGAGCTTTTCACACTCTTGCCTTTGGGGGATTTTTTTGTTAATATTTTGGTCCTTTGTCACCCACCCCCCTTGACCAGACAGGAGGTGAAGTGAAGAAGTTTCTTCCTTACATGGACCCAGTGGTTTCCTGGATGATGCAAGTCCTGTTGAGAGATACGAAAGAGCTCAGAAGAGGGAGAGAAAACTGAAAAACCTGTGTTTCTTCACAAAAGTGACCCTTGGGTTTCAACTGTAGCCATTAAACTGTTACGTTCCTTGGAGAGGTTATTTCATTGGGTAAAAACTCCAGTGCTGTGAGTCTGTTTTATAGGTGGCTTGAAGTAGAAAGCATTTTTAGTGCCAAGGGCACCCACTGCAACTGCATCTAAGGAAAACCTGAACCCTGGAAGGTCTCCGCGCTTGCCCAGGCTTTGGCCAGAGGCTGATCCTTTGGCAGATGTCTAGACGCCTATTTTTTGGGTAAGTAGAATCATAGAATCGTTTAGGTTGGATCCGCGTAGGTTTGACTGTTTTGAAACTTTATGAACATAACCCACAAGCTTCAGCGATGGTGGTTTGGGCTGGGGGTGTCGTGGTGGTGCTGTGATCGCAGCCCTGCCCATGGGAGAGTCCCCATGGCCACCCCAGCTGGGAAGCTCCTCTTCTTTGAAGGTCTATCATTTAGTAAAATGGTCGTGGAGGCAGGTGCTGGCTGTGGTGGTCGTGTGGGAGAGCAGACCTGAGTTTCTGCTATTGTATCTGTTATCTAGTGTGCAGTTGGCTGGAAGCTCAGCCTTCCCCTGGATCAGGTACTCTTTGGCTCCTCCATGCGTCTGGGGCTCGGTTGTGTTTTTTGCTCCTTATCCTTATGGATAAAGACAATGGACAGCAGGGAATCTCCACGAGGAGCTGTTCCCCATCCTCCTTGGGCTCACCAGGTAACAGTTCTCCCGGTATATGTGGGTAACTAGTCCAGGGGAGCTCAGAGCCTTCCTCCGTGCCTTGCCATGTGCATTGCTGGTTGGAGAGCATGCAGAGACGGGCACCAGTGAATTCCCTCCATCGTGAGCCTCCTTCCCTGTGTTCAAGTGGGGCGGTTGCTTTGCAAGGCCCTGGGAAAGCTGGTGGGGAGACACAGGTTGCACAGGTACCAGGTGAAGGAGGGTTGATTCCCCTGGATCTATCCCCAGTGTGGTGGGTGCTGTGAAAGCAAGGCAGGTTGAGGAGCTGCTGTGTTCATCCTGCCTCCTTCTCCAACAGCTCAGCTCATTACACTGGTAACATCCCAAGGAGAACTGAGGTCTCCAGGTAATGCCATGTCCCTTTTTCCTCAAAAAGATGGCTTTGCAAATGCTGATGGTGCCTCGTTCAAGGAAGAAACATTCCTGGAAGGGCCAGCAGTGCCTGTAGAGCCTCTGGATGCAGTCTTTGGAGGAGCGAAGGTGCTGTGAGCGTGGAGATGGAACCTGGCTGTGTCTCCAGGCTGTTGATTTTTCTGTTGGGTTAAGCTGCAGAGCAGGGGGTGAAGGTGCTGCTGCAGCGCTTCGTTTAACAAGGGCGAGATTTGCAGCGTCATTCCCTTTCTCTCTTGGCAGAAATCCTCCCAGGAGAGGAGGCGAGACCTTTTCTTTTGAAATGTAAGTGCAGGTTTTTATTTTGCTTTAGGAGATGTACAGAGGTGTTAAAGGCAGCTGTAAAAAGATCCCCTGAAAAACCCAGCTGAGCAAACCCTAATCCCCTCTCTGAAGGGTGAAGAGAGGTCAGGATGGTTCCCCAGGAGCAGTGGAAAGGAGGATGGATGCTCTTTCATCCCGGTGTCCAGTCCAGCCCTTGATAAAATGTGGCTGTTGGCAGTCGTCTCTCAAATTTGGAAGACTTTAGCTGGCTGATTTGGTCACTAAGAAATCCCTCCCGCTCTGAGCATCTGCTGAGAGAAAATGTGAAGACCAAAAAAAAAAAAAAAGGCGTGTGTGGGAAGCTGATTCATCAATGCAAAGGTAATGCTGGTACTTGGCGTGTCTTCCCAGCCCGCCCCGAGCCCGCCGTTCTCTGCAGAGCTTCAGCCCTTGGTTTCCAGCCAGGCCGGGAGCTGCAGCCGTGGCAGGAGGCAGCCTGGGCTCTGCCCGCGCTAGAGGGAGACAATAGCTAATGGATACGGAGATGCTTTTCTTGGAAAAAACTGGAACGGGGATGTTCAGATGCCGGCAATGGAATTTTTTTTTTTTTTTGTTTTAATTGCAAGACTGGGGTGATTTGTGCTAGGAGAAGCTGTGCACCGTAAGCCGCGTGCGATGCAGTGCTGAGCGTTTCCAACGTGGTGCTGGCTATTGAGTGTTGCTGAGCCTAATCCATGTACAAAACCGGCTTCTCTTGCTTTCCATTCAAAATAGCAATGAGAAATGCAGGGGAAGGCTCTGAGCTCTCTGTTTGCTCTCGCTGAAGTTGCGCTGCCTCTCCTCCATCCCTAAGTATGAACCTCCCACCCTTTCCCAGCTGTATCCCGCAGGCGTGAGCAATGAGTTGTTCATCTAGGAGCTGCTGTTGGGTTTTCTTGGGCAATGACTCACTCAGCTATTTATTATTGTGATTAAAAAAAGAAATCTCATGCAAATTTAATTCAACCCCGAATAATTCAAATGATTTTGCCATAAAACCCCTTTGCAATGACACAGCTGTGTTTTGTCCCCAGGTGCCGTGGTCCCCGTGTCCCCCTTGCTTGATGTGTGACCCTGGCCTTTTTCTGCAGCACTTGTGGTGCTGTTCGCAGTCAGCTCTGAATTTCCTTGGATCATTTGCTGGTCGCCAAGGCTTTTGGCAGGGCTCTGCCTTTCGCATTGGACGGTGGGGTTATACTGGGGGGCTCTTCTGCAGATCCTGGGGGAAGCTGTGAGCAGGGAGAGCTGCTACTGGCCAGCTGGGAGTTTCTAAAGGAGCATCCAGAAGGTGAGAAACTACATTTCTGCCTGCTTCGTTGGATTCACTATCTTGGCTAACCTTTGCCAGGATGCAAAGTCAGGAGACAATCCAGCTCCAAGGTGGGTGTGGGCATCGCCATGCAGGAGCTTCCCCACGTCACCTGGACCCTTTGATGTACTCAGATTTGTTTGATTAAACATCATCTTCCAGCAAACCCTTCTCCGTGGGTCCAGAGCACGCCTGTGCTCTGGCTGGAGAGGAAAGGTCTTGGGGAGAAAGAGTCTCTGGTAATGGTATGGGACGCTAAGTCTCCAAAAGCTTTTACATGAAATGGTGATAGCTTGAATGCTGGAAAAGTAGTAGTCTTCTTTCACCTCCTTTTGGAGGTGACAAATCCCTGTGGGTCCCATGTCATGGAATTGTTTAGGTTGGAAAAGACGTTTAAGATCATCAAGTCCAATGTCAGCCCTGGCTGGGCTCCCCTGCCGCAGTGTCCTGGGGTGGCTGGAGAAGAGCGATGGGTGAGGGGTGCTCCTTGGAGGGAGGTTTAGCCAAGTGTCTTCATGGAGGGTGTCTTGTCTCTCAGGCTTGCTTAGAATAAACCTGGACTAGCTTCCTGAAGGTACAAATTATGCTGGTTTTGCTGAGAGCTCTGCCTGTTGCAGGGCCAGGACTAGAGACCCGAGAGGTGGCCTCAGCCAGTCAGAGCTTCATCTGGACGCTGTCCTCTGTGAGACCACCGAAGCAAATGGGTCCGTAAAGGCCCTGAGGGCTTTCCTAAGTCTACGTGAGAGACCAGGAGTACAGGGACAACCCATGAGAACGCCAAGACTTGCTCGGGTGATGGCTGGGGGGGGTCGCCCGTGGTGTGTCCCCTTCCAAAACCCACCTCTCCTTGTTCCCACCGCCAGCCATGCCCCTGAACCAAGCACACATTACCAAACCAGGGACAAAACCCTTGCGAGGGGTGGGTGTTGCAGGCATCCCTGCTCTCAGCAGCTGGGGAAGAAATCATGCCAGCCTGATGGAATGGTTTTTTTTTCCCTGAAACTGTCTCACCAAAAACATTTTTTTTTTTTTTTTTTATGGAAGAAACAAAAGCCAGAGTCAGGACCAAAGAACTTGCCCTTGGGTTTTTGACTCCAGAGTGAGGCTATCTTTTAAGGAAAAGTCAATTGAAAACAATTGCAAGTGAAAAATGATTCTGCCGAAACACCTAACCCACCCCCAACCCTTCAAGAAATTGAATTCCCCTTTTTCAGCTGGAAGAGGAGGACAAAAGTTATTTATTTTTTTCTTCCTGTCTGATGTTCTTTCTAGGAAAGAAAACAAAACACCTTCCTTCTGAA